ATGAATGAATCAATCAATTCATTCAATTTAATTACCCTTTTAAGCACACAATAGTGGACTTACTTTTGATTTCAAACCACATATCAATTGAAAATGAAATAATAAATTAAATAAAATGATTGCTGTATTAAACGTATTAAATAAATACATGTCTTATTAAATTATAAAAATAGTTGACATCTAATGAACAGATGGTTTCCAATAAATGCACTCAAATTATGATAAATCCAAACTCTAATTACAATGCTATTAATGTTTATGCAATTAATTTGAATAAAATACTAAAAGACATGTCCCACCTTATCATTGTGAAAGGTATTTGTGATATCGATGGTGCACTTCATAGCCCCCACTGACCCCCACTAACCCCCACCAAACCCCCATATATTTTGAAAATGGATGCGTACAATTTTGCACAATGCCACTTTAAAAATGGAAAATTACAAAATTTAACATTACGTCTATGTAAACGGATAAATTAATTTAGACCCCGCCCGCACCTCCTAAAATTCTGTAAATTGGCACATATATTCATATATTCATATTCACTGCCGCCATCAGTGGTATGAATGAATTCCCATAAGAGCTAATGTTTGAACACAAAAAATTAAAAATACAACTGTTTTAAAGCAGAAAAACAAATTGGCTTAAAATCCAAAATAGTATCGATAATATATTAATACAGTTACTAATTTATTTATTAAAATCCATGTACAACAAAACAAAAAAATATTCATTTTTCAATTTTAATTAAAAATTCATATATAACAATATTCCGAAATTATTTTAGGATTAAATTGCTTGTTGTTACCATAATTTTTTTCGGGCAACCTTATTCGTTGGCTCTAAATAGATATTATATTAATATTTCTATAGAATAAATAATCCAAATGAAAATCAATTTGGATTCAGACCTAAACACTCGACTAATGATTGTCTTCTCGTAGAGTTAATGTATATCAATGGGGATTTCGATGTTTTTGGACACAACCACTAACTTCTCATAGACATAATGTATATCTATGGGGATTTCGATGTTTTTGGACACAACCACTAACTTCTCATAGACATAATGTATGTCGGTCACTCTTGAAGAGTCGGTTGCTTTGGTCGACGACAACGAGTGATTGCGAGCACTCTTCGGACAATCGCTGACACAACTCGTATATAGTGGTCACTCGATGGCTGTCTTTCCACACGTGAGGGTCCAGACGTTGTCCATACAGACTGTAGTACTCGTTGCAGATGTCCATCAAATCGATGCCTTGCGGACAGTGTCTCTCGTTGGCCACAATTGGGATCAATTGCGACAACACTTTCAACAGAGAGTGCATAATCTGGTCGTCAATCGTACCATTCATTCGCTGCAAACGTTTCCCACAAACAGTCAGTCGATTGCACTCATAGTCAGTGCGCTCTCTCTCTCTCTCTCACTCTCTCTCTCTCGCTCTCTCTCTCTCTCACTCTCTCTCTCTCGCTCTCTCTCTCTCTCCCACTGCTATTTCAATGCATTTCAACGTCAAGTACTGTATTTCACAACAATATAGGCCTAGATTTGTGGGTCTGGGCCAACTTTGGGGGTCTAAGCATATAGCGAGGGGTGCCCTGTATTGTACTGTAATACTGTAGTGCAATGAAAAGGGGGGTATTGTTGCAATAGCCCCCCATTGCCACCACTATTGATAATCTGTGTGTTGATTGACAAGTTTGAAATGTGCACTGATTTGCATGACCTCTATATACTGTATAGTACTGTTCAATAGAAACCCAGTGCACCACTTAATACCACACTCTATGCACTCATAATTAGCTAATTATATTAACAATTAATTTGTGGATACAAAAGGAACATGATCCACTGACCAGGGTATTGATGAGCAAACAGTATTCAATAAAAAATGTAAATTTTAAGCACAAATTCAATAAGTAGACCACAATATAATTGACCACAAAGTTGTTCACTTCATATTTAGCTTGGATCTAAATTTAGTATTTTATTCAAATTAATTGCATAAACATTAATAGCATTGTAATTAGAGTTTGGATTTATCATAATTTGAGTGCATTTATTGGAAACCATCTGTTCATTAGATGTGAACTATTTTTATGATTTAATAAGACATGTATTTATTGAATACATTTAGTACAGCAATCATTTTATTTAATTTATTATTTCATTTTCAATTGATATGTGGTTTGAAATCAAAAGTAAGTCCACTATTGTGCGCTTAAAAGGGTAATTAAATTGAATGAATTGATTGATTGATTCATTGATTATTGTCTTAAAGTTATCCATATCTCAAGTTCAGAGCCAAACACAAGATATCTATCACAAGGTATTCATGGCTTCATTCATTCAAAGGATATTCAATTTGTTCAACAATTATATGTGAATAATAGGCAGGACTACCAAAAAGTGTGTCTCAAAATCAATATCAAAGGCAAACTGTAGACTCGACTGGAGATAAGCCAATACATGATGAAGAAGATGAGGAAGATCTCAAAGATCTGATCAATACTAACGACGAACTCTTCAAACGGTTGGAAAGCTCCAGGAGTTGACAATTGGCACCAATTCTACAGTGCTTTTCAATGTGTGACGATTACAAGCGTTTAAATGAATTGAAATGCATTTTAATAAATTAATTTCATTTCGTTGATACAGTAATACAGTATTTTATTTGAAACCATGATTGATATGAATAATAAATATAATCATTTGATTGCGAAATAACAGAAATGAATGAAATTATAAATAAATAAATCGATAAAAAAGTTTTGATAAATGAAAGTAAAAGTAGACAATCATTAAGAATGAATGAAAATAGTATTTGAATGGACGGTGTGTTGAACTTCCGGTTCGTCTATTAGTATGTTATCGGTTGAAGCGCACAGCGATTGTGGGGTTGTCTTCAGGTTATGATCAGATTTATGGCAACATTTGAAGAAACCATACATTGAAGCAAACATTTCTGGTTTCTCTGACTGCCATTTGACTATAGCCAGGATCACAACACACGATGATATGATGGTCGCCCCCAACACTGATGTCCACTCTATGGCTTCCGATAATATGAATGCCTCCCAAATAAAGGAGAGCACGATATTGAAGGTCCGCACCACAGAAACAGGTCCGGCGCTCTCGTTCTGGAGGGCTATCGTCAAGAAATACTGGTCTCCAATACCGAGAAGTCCGATGACAACCAATAGAGAGTAGGCCCAGAGGCCGGTCGGCATTACAAACTGATTGAGTATTGCGAGGACAGTCGTCCCAAATATGATGATAGCGAATGCAAACCAAAATACGACGACAGCGGCGGCCGTAGTCTTCAACTTCCTTAAGTTGATTATAGCGAAGGCGGCACTAATGGCGGCCACAACTGCCAGGATTGTACCCTCCAGTCGGTGCTCGTGAATGACAACCGATTCCGATTCAAACAGGAATTCAGGCTTTGATATAATGGTAACCCCTATGAGAGTCATGATTCCTGTTATCACTTGAATAGCAGTGAAGGGCTCTTTGAGTATAAAGAATGCGAAAACAGTGACAAAGACTGGCGACGAGAAGTGGATTGTGGAGGCGTCTGAAAACGGCATCAATCGGTAGGCCATGAATACTGATGAAAGGGCTATCGTTCCTGAGACGGCTCGCAATAGTAAGTCTATGCGATGTCCCGGTTCACCAAATAATGGATATTTGTTGACAGCAATGGATACTCCATAGAATACCAATTGAAATAGTGATCT